ATTTACCTAATGCAATATGTCATTTGATTTCTTGACTGCTGCTTCCATGATCCAAGAAGAATGAAGTCCTTGACAACTTCAATTTTTTCTCTGTTGATAAGAATGTTTCTGATTGGTCCAGTGGTGAGGATTTTCATTTTCTTTACATTGAGATACAATCCATACCATAGACTGTGGTCTTTGATTTTCATTAATAAATATATTAAATCTTCTTCACTTTCAGCAAGCAAGGTTATAACATCTGCATATCACAGGTTGTGAATGAGTCTTTCTCCAATCCTGATGCCACATTTTTGTTCATATAACCCAGCTTCTGGGAATGTTTGCTCAGCATACAGGTTGAATAAGTATGGTGAAAGAATACAACCCTTTTGCACACCTTTCTTAATTTTATACCATTCAGTGTTCCCATGTTCTGTTTAAACAACTGCCTCTTGGTCCTGGTGCATTTCCTCATGAACACAATTAAGTGTTCTGGAATACTTTGCAATGTTATCCATAGCATGTCATGATCCACACAATCAAAAGCGTTTGCGTAGTCAATAAAGCACAGGCAAACATCTTTCTGATATTTTTTGCTTTCAGCCAAGATCCATCAGACATCAGCAATGATATCCCTCATTCCATAGCCTCTTCTGTATCCAGCTTGGCCCTCTGGAAGTTCTCTGTCAATGTATGCTTGTAGCCATTTCTGTATTAGTTTTCATAAAACATTGCTCACATTGGATATCAAAGATATCATCCGATGATTTCCACATTGTGTTGGGTCACCTGTCTTTGGAATGGGCACAAATATGGATCTCTTCCCATCAGTTGGCCAGATAGTTGTCTTCCAAATCTCTTGGCATAGATGAGTGAGTGCCTCCTGTGCCGCCTGACTTCCTTGAAAGATTTCAATGTTTATTCCATCAATTCCTGGTCCCTTGTTCTTTGCCAATTCCTTCAATGCACCTTCGACTTCTTCCTTCAGTATCATTGGCTCTTGATCATATGCTATATCTTGAAAAGGCAGAACATCAACCGTATCCTTTTGGTACAGTGA